GCTTGCGACAGCATCGTAAGGGGGCATCGCGAACCCTCCGCTTCTACGGCAGCGGCGGGGGCGGCCACGCGCAGCCGGCGAGAGGCGTGGCTCGGGAGAGGGTCGCGGCCGCGGCCGTTGTCATCATCAACGGCGGCAGCAGACTGCTGCAACCCATGACCCAACCCATGACCACAGGCAGCACCACTTTCGCCTGTGTTGTCGTATCTCGCGGGTCGGCGATGGCCCCTCGGCGGCCTGCCGCCGGTAGGTCCGCTGTTCTCGTCGCTCTGCATGTTTGTACGCTGGCGCTGCCGCCTGCCTGAAGGCTGTGGTGTGTAAATGCTGTACGTTTTCAAACCGAAAAGTCTGAGAAATTCAAAAAATGGACCGCCTGACGTTAAGAAACGTCAGGCGGTCCGTTCGGATTTCTCCGAAAGCCAGTCGGCATATTCCAACAAACCGAAAAATCGTTAAGAATCCTCCTCAGGGGGTAGAGAGGTCGGGCTGTTCGATTTTTTGTCGACTTTCTTTGTGTTTGACGGATAAGCACCAGTTGGTCAGTTGGTGCAACAACATGTGCATTTTTCGATGGTTGTTGTGTTGTGCAGATCGTTGGACTTTTTGCTGTGGGCGTCCACTCATTCTGATCAGGATTGGCAGTATTGTTGTCGACCTTCACGAGGGAGCCACTCGATGAGATACTTCGCACGTACAGTAGAGGTCCCTGTTTAAGGCCGCCTTGTGACAGACGAAATGAACGGCCTTAAAGAGGTCACCCGGCCTCATTGGAAACGGGTCTTATTTAAGGCCGGTACCGGCCTTATTGAGGAATACTGATGCTGCACTCAAGCCTTTCGGGAAGGTGGCAGGCCCCAACGTGCCTGAAGGCTCGCAGTATGCACGTCATACATATACAGATTAATATAGCATGTTTCCAAATATTACTTGCTGCCGTAGTAGCTGACGTCCACAAAAATATGTATTTCACTTGGTACGTGCGAAGTATCTCATCGAGTGGCTCCCTCGTGAAGGTCGACAACAATACTGCCAATCCTGATCAGAATGAGAGGACGCCCACAGCAAAAAGTCCAACGATCTGCACAACAAAACAACCATCGAAAAATGCACATGTTGCACCAACTGAACAACTGGTGCTTACCCGTCAAACACAAAGTCGACAAAAGAATCGAACAGCCCGACCTCTCTACCCCCTGATACANATCCGTCAATCACAAAGTCGACAAAAAAATCGAACAGCTCGACCTCTCTACCCCCTGATACACTAACAACGGCACACGAAAGTTGAAAATACAAGGACGAAGCCGGACACGACACCGGACCCGGGAGAACCACTCAACTGACGCCTCCCCCCATGCGCCTATCGAGTCTACAAAAATTGCCTCATGTCTGTCTGCCTCGCTGCCTTCGAACCATGCGCTGCGATCATTGCCATTTTGGCCTTCTGTAGATGGAAAGCGGCGTCACGGTTGCCGCTCCCCTCCGCTGCCGTCTCCAGAGCCCCGAAGTGCGACGAAAGTGCCGCGTACGGCGGAGGTGCCATATGAATTGAGGGTTCCTCGCTCGCTTCGTCGTCCGAGCTCTCCTCTGGGAAATCCATCGCCCGAAGGTTCTTCCTGGTGGTGGCGCTGCTGCGAGTTTTGGCGGCCTGATTCTCTATCTTCGCCCGCTCGGCCTTGACGGTACGCACCGTGCGCTCCCCGCAGTTGAACTGCTCTGCGATCGACTTCTGCGTCCGCGTGCCCTTGTCCAGCAGACGGAGGATCTCCATCTTGGTGCCGATGTCCATCCGCGTGCGCGAACCAGTCATGTCCGGGTGGTTGGCTGGTTTCGTTTTTTTTTGTCTTGCCGTGTCTCCGCTCTCCGTGGCTGACCCTTTGCGCTTGCCCTTGCCAGCTGTCGAGGCATTACTACCCTTTTGCTTGGAGGCAATGCATGCAAAGCAGATGCGGGCGGTTTCGTACTCCGCATCTTGGTCTTGTTCCCCACACAGTCCGTGCAGTCTGCCGCCACACCCTCCGTGACATTGGTGGCCGTGAGGGGCTACTGGCGTCTGGTCTGGCAGTTGGCACAGCTCACCAGCCGCACAAGGCATGTGTGCCCCTACTGGTTGGGTCGGTAGGGGTACGCGAGGTATTATTGTTGTTGTTGTTGTTGTTGTTGTTGTTGTTGTTGTTTCTCACAATAATAGCTCTATAGTCCACAAAAAATGGGGAGCCCGTGGTCTCAAAACCCGGCACATACGACGCCGCGAGAAAACAAAAAAAACAAAAATAGGGTACAAACCACTCGGAAAAAGAAAACACAATGATATGGTCCGTTTCCGGAAAAATTCACAATATTTTCCCCTGCACAAAGGTGCACTTTTCTCGGGGTGGGGGTACTTATTCCGAAATCTGAAAATACCGCGTAAATCGACGTTTCAAGGCGCATCTTCCTACGGCGATTTTTTTTTATTTTTTCGTCCTTCGCTCGATATGTTCAGATATTCAAGAAATCTTGCTTACTTTCTGGAGGGCGGTGTTTTTTGCAGACACAAAATCTGAGACCGGATTTGGACAGCTCTCGTGATTTGCCACCGATGATTTTTTTCCGATTTCTAATTTGACAAAAAAATAACGGAGTTATGGGCAAAAAACCTTATATTGGAGGGTATTTTGCTTAGTTTCTTGGGGACAATCCAACCGTACGATTCAAAAATAAAGTGCTGCAATCGATTCCTCTCGTGATTTCCCACCGATGATTTTTTTCCGATTTCTAATTTGACAAAAAAATAACGGAGTTATGGGCAAAAAACCTTATATTGGAGGGTATTTTGCTTAGTTTCTTGGGGACAATCCAACCGTACGATTCAAAAATAAAGTGCTGCAATCGATTCCTCTCGTGATTTCCCACCGATGATTTTTTTCCGATTTCTAATTTGACAAAAAAATAACGGAGTTATGGGCAAAAAACCTTATATTGGAGGGTATTTTGCTTAGTTTCTTGGGGACAATCCAACCGTACGATTCAAAAATAAAGTGCTGCAATCGATTCCTCTCGTGATTTCCCACCGATGATTTTTTTCCGATTTCAAAAAAAAAAATCGGGTTTCGGGGATATTTCGGGAGGTTTGACACGCCCTCGGGGAATTTTTTCCCGCCACACACACACCAGAGGACACACACACACACACCCTTTACGCACGCAACGAAAGACGCACACGCGCTCCGGGCACATGGGTCGCCCAAAGGGTAAGCGCAAGCTGCCAAGGAACGCCGAATGGCACGATTCGGAAGGCCCCTTCGCCCCCTGCGCACCCTGCTGTAGGCAACGACTCTCCTCCCTCATCCGACCATGAAGGCGCCAATATTTCTCCCATGCACACCAACGACCACGACGACGACTGGCGCGATGAGGATGCGGGTGGCGAGCCAGGTCGCGGGCAGGCGAAACTGCCGTTCGGTTCTGCGGTTCGTTCTGCAGCGAGCGCTGCGGTGTCTGCAGCAGCTCGCACAGCAATGGCGGTGGCGCCCGAAGTCGCGCCGCCTGCGCGAAAAAACGCGGTGCAACCTCTCCACCGGTCGACGCAGCTTCGCCACAGGCGAGCGCGGTGGAGCAAGGAGGACGCCAGGATGGCGGGGAGCTTGGCAGCATGGCTGAAGCCGCCAGCACAGCAGCAGGAAGGGCAGCATGGTTCGTCTCAAATTATGGAGACTGAAGGTGCGGTGGAGATGGATGTTGAGGTGGGAGATGTTGGTGCGGACAGCAGTGATCATG